GTATGAATTACCACAGCCTCCTGCAGGTAAAATGACCGACATTGCAGCTTGGAGTGAATGTGTAGAAAACTCTCAAGCCCAGTTGGAACATCAGGCATTAAGGTAAGATTTCCTTATTTTCTTCTTTTAATAATGGAATATTAAATATAAATGGTAAGTCAAATTTTATAAGATATCCTATTAAATGATTTATGGATATTTTGCTGCATCTGTTATTGTACAAGTTTTTCCATGTTGATAGACAACGACTGAATGTATTTGTTTTACTTATTTATTTATTTTTTTTTTGTAATGATCTCTCTAAAAACAAATATTGATTGTTCAGCCAATTTTGGTGAAACAAATTTCCTCTCATATTTATCCATTCCTAAATTTCCTCATCAAATGTTAGAGAAATTTTAGAGTGAAGCTTTATTGAATTTTTTTTCTCATGCTTTATTTCTGACTTTTTTTTTTTTTTTTTATTCATAAAATATGATTCATTGGAATGTGTAGAAACTCTTTGTTAGAAACAAAAGAGTATTGGCCAGTTATGTGATATCTGTACTCCTATATGGCAGTGAATGTTGGACAATCTCCTCTTCTAAATATTGCCTGGTATGTGCTGATTAATCTTTGCTTCCAGTCTCTGAACTGTTCTATGTAGTGTCACACTGACTTTGGAAATGATAAATTGATATGGTAGGGAGGTAGAACATCCTTTTGGATCGATTTCAACATTGGTTGGACATTAAAAAAGAGATGGAGGCCAATCAGCTTAGGTTTTAGAATTTGAGACATTTTCCCTGAAAACCATTCTGCACAACATCAAGCAGGGATATTTGTTATATTGCAAAAACAAAACTTTGTCAATATTTTTAATCAGAACTTTTTTCCTTTGTCTCATTTGTCATACTTGATTGTATTTACAGTTTTCTAGTCATTGTCCAAAAAAGTATAATGTTAACTGATCCTGTCTTGGTTTGAGAGTTCACTATATCAAAAAATGCCTATGGTTGGCTGGACAGATTTTGTCTACAATAATCATTTGGTTGAAGGCAATGGATTAAATATATTTTTATTATTTTAATTTTGCATTAACTTATATTTTAAAATTGATCAAGTTCAATTTGTGCTTTTTGAGCACTTCTCAGGTACAGTATGTATGCTTGAAAGCGAATATTGTTTAAAATATGTCCTGATAATGAGTGAAAGAACAAAAAAGGCAGAGACTGAATGGGTCATGAAAATAAAGTTAAATGTTGATGTGAAATTAAGAAAAAAAAAGAAAAGAATTTGTTGTTAGAATATTGCATTTGAGAAACTTAGGAATAGTGTTTGCTTTTGGACTTTTTTCAGAGATGGAAATTGGTGAACATGGTTTTCAAAAAAAAAAAAAAGCAGGAATCAAACTTCTCATCACTTCAGAAATTTTCATGTATTGGTACAGGCACCAAGATTAAAAATGTCTTTTGATTATTGCATTTTTTTTTTTTTTTTTTTTTCTCTTTATAGAATATTAAATTTAGAATTGATGTCTGAATATGGTGCCAATGCGTGGAAAACTTATAATACCGTCCTTGTTCAGATGGTGGAACAGGGACAGAAGCAGTTACAAGATATCAAGTAAGACAATGATTTTCTATGATAGTATCACTTTTAGAAGAGTTACTTCCCTTGATATATTAAACCTTTCTTCTTAACCGATGAGGACAAGATTAATAGAATGGTTCTGTAGAGTGGAATAAATTTAATAATCTAAAATTTATGATTTGCAACATGTTTTTTATAATTTTTTTATTTGAGTGGTGGTATTTCTTTCAATTCTTTGCCTCTGATAGGTTGGTTTTAGATTTTTTTATATGTTAAAAAATAACCAAACTCCCTTTCTTTCACAAATACCATTTTAACTTTGTCTTTCAAAATGTGCCATATAAAACCTTTTAATCCTTTCGAATTTGCTGAAGAAATTATTTCAATTGTTCTTTCTAAAATGCAATTCCTATTTATTGCCTTAGAGTTATCATTGAGTAGTAATTTTGATCCTTTTTTTCACCTTGAATAATATATGTTGTAGTATTAGCAGTACCAATAATCTTAAGTACTTTCATCATTAACCTTTGACTGATTACGCTTTCATTTTATTGTTGCTATCATAATCAACTGTTATTTTCCTCGATCTTTGTTTTAAGGCAGTTATTTATCAACTTATTCAATGTTGTATCTAAGTTGAATAGTTATTTATTTAGATAGAGTATACATTACCCTGTAATAAGATTTTCTTAATTGATAGGGGGTTTTAAGGGCTGTCACACTCAGTTATGATTTTGTTTTCATTTCTCTTGAAATATCCACAGCTTAATTGATAACCCTTCAATATTGAATATGAATGTGTTTCTCTCCTTTATATGAATTTCTTCCTTTTTGAAAAAAAAAAAAGGATCATATTTGTGTGTGTGGGGTGTATATAGATGTATATAACTTTATCTTATTTTATTTTTTTAAATAAAGAAACTTACATGTTGTTGACCATTCTATGTGTCAAAACTTGCCTGCTCCACTTATGGACTGAGGAAGCCTGAATTTTGGATTCTCCCATTCTGATGGAGGTGGGGTTCACATGGACAAATTTGATTGAAGGAAGGCTGATTTGTGTTTTTTTAGGGTTCCAAAATATCTTTTAAAGCCATCTGCATCCTGCGATTGATATTTTCATATGGCTTTTTGCACAGTCACATATTGGTATTTGACCATCACAAACAGGTTAACATGAGTGAATGAGTCTGATGGTCAGACTCCTAAAGATCCCAGAGTAACATCACTCATGAGGTGACTGTGGTCTTCTTACAGAAGTATTTCTAAACTGTTAAAATTCAAATTTATTTTATGTTCCTTGCTTTAAGGGTTAAAATATTTATTGACTTAGTACATTATAAAATTGAAAGAGAAACAAGCCACATGTTAATGGTGAATTGTAGCTAATGCCTATTAATAAAATTTACATTAAATGTGTGTGTGTCTAAGGATCAATAACTGATTTTGGGAGATAATTAACACTTTCACTGCTGCATTGTTAGAGCATTGTTTCCTGGCTGTGCTAGCCCATTTGGATGGAAAATAGAAAATTGCCATTTACTCATTTATTTCATGGATGACTATAAAGGCATTGGTGGCAATTTCTTGATTGGATACTCTGCAATACAGACTAAGCTAAACACCCCCCCCCAACACTCAAAATAAAAAATATGTCACAAAGCAGTTGGTATTGTGCACTACTATGTCTATTTTGGTTTGGAAATAGCACTAAGCACTTGTTAGTTTATAACACAAACAGCAAGGACTGACATTTCACAGTGTCTTGGCAGTGTAAGTTTTGTAAATAACTACACACTCATAACATTGGAAGTGTTAACTAATTTTTATTACAAAGTTTGTATATTTTTGCTTCATGATTGTTTTGCTCTTAGTATGCATAAATTATTGAAATGCAAAAGTGGTTAACCACCACTTTTTTACATTTTCTGATCAATGGAAATACTGGTTAAAAAAAAAAAGATAATTTCTAACTCTTCAGTCTTTTGTTTTCTTCTTTGTTTTGATTTTCCCGGAAGCCATGTTACTGAGAAATCTTTCATTGTTTTTTATATAGGAAGAAAATTCAAGACATCAATTGGCAGAGAAAAAATGAACAAACTGAAGCAGGAGCCAAATTAAAAGAACTTGAAAATCAGTGAGTGTATAAAAATTAAATTTAATTAAAAAAAAAAACAAAACAAAAAAAACTCTTCAATTTTATGTGCTGATAATTGTTCATAGATTTCTGGTTGAAAATTTTCTGTTATGTCATTCTCTCTTTTTTTCTATTTATTTTCTTATACTTTTTAATTTTAGAAAAAATGTTTAGCAATATTTAAGCTGCAAAAAAATGGTGCATCAAAAGTCTGTTTTTTTTCTGTTGATACTGTTTATTATTTTGGAAATATTTATTTACAAAATTATAAAAATATGTGAGCCAAGTAGAATTTGATATCTATTATTTACCATTTTATAAAAAAATAAATTTGGAAAGAAATCTTTTTATTCAAAAATTTATAAAAAAAATTTACAAAGTTATAAAAATATATGAACCAACTCCATTGCAACATTTATTATTTACAATTTTATAAATTAAATAACTATGAAAACAAATTTTTACTCCTAAATTTATAAAAATGTCTATGAATTATAGAACAAGAAAAATTAAATAAACATTTTTCCGGACATTATACATTCTCTTCTCAGGTTTTAATTTTCATGCTGATGGTAAATAACAGATATTTCATTATTTTTATAAATTTAAGAATAAAAAAATTCTTTTCATATTATTTCTTTATAAAATGGTAAATAAAATATTTCATTGTAGGTGGTTCACACTTTTATAATCTTGTAAATATAAAATTATTCTTGTAAAAAAAATAGTGTTTAATATTTTTGCTGTCAATTCTCAAGAACAAAGAAAATGTATAAATCTGCTTTCATATGTTTGGGTTTTATTAAAATACTAACCATTGCTTTTTTAAAAAACAAAGATTGCCAAGGTTAATCTTTGCCAAAATATTTGTCTACTCCATCATCTTTAGCACATATGAGGCAATACTGAAAAGTTCACAGCCCAGCCTGGCCCACTTTGCAAAACCAGTCTTCTGATGTTGGGTCATTGAAATAGTGATTTTGGGAAGTTAGTTGAGCTGTGAATCTTTCATTATCGCACCACTTTTACATATATACAAATATAAAAGCTGACATTGAATGCTGGCAATTGTGTTTAAGCATGAAACAGACTGCCACTGTTGGGTGTTGGCTTCAATGTCCACTTTTATATTTATAGATGCTCTATCCTTGATGTAGAGCACTTGAACTCTTTGATTCTTGAAATTTTACTTTCAAATGGACAACGGAATTTCACTTTTGTAAATTCAAATATATATCATCTGAAGAGGCCTGGAGTGTACAACAGCCGAAACATGGCAATAAAGATGAGGACAACTGTCTGAATGATATAAATAGTGTAAAAATTTTTGATTCTTATGAATGAATGTAATGTAAATTTTAAATACCAATATTCCTAGCCTTCCTCTTATGATGTATTTTCCATACTTGCCATTTATCATTGTTTATTGTTATTAATGTTAATGTAATACCTTTTCATGTTTAAATCCACTTGCTTTTAACATCTGTTTTCCTCTGCTAGGTGGGTCGGTTTGGTGAGTAAGAACTACGAAATAGAACGAGCATGTGCCGAATTGGAAAAAGAAATCCTAGACTCAGAAAAGAAAAAGGTAAGTTTCACATTTGTTTATTTAATCTCAATCTGATGATCCCACATTTTGAATAGATTATTTTTTTTCTCTCTAGAAGATATGCTGTAAATAATTTTTACCCAATCGGTTAAAATGGAATCTGAAAAAAAAAAAAAAAGTAAATTTCGCTTTTTGTAAATGGTAGATTTTATAACTCACTGATAAGATTTTGTTGAAATTGCAATGAATAAATGAATGACCAAAATGTGACGACAACAACAAAGATGAGGACAATAGTCCAAATTGAAATAGGGTAAATAAACAATCAGTAAAATTAAGAAACTTTCTCCATGGTGATTAAATAATAATCTTGCTCTGTGTTTCTGGAGTTGTAAAAGGAGGAAAAAGATTCTAGTTTGAAAACTGTACAGTAATGAGAATTCTCTGCTGTAAATATTTTTTTTTACTGTGAGGAAGATTTGTTTGTTGTTTTTATTTCTATTTATTCCGATGGCCTATCTTCATTTCTTTAATGATAGATGAAGATCCTTCTGCCAAAATCTTTATATAAATTTTTGTAAAATGAATTGTTATTATTGTATATAATTTTCTTTGGATTATTTTCCTTGTTTTTATTTATTTATCTATTTATTACAATGTTTTGGCTGCCTTCTCTCCAGCCTTCCTCAAGTGTCCTGGAATATTGTTGATTATATGCATTATTTCTCAAAGACACAGAAAAAAAAAAAAACCTGTAAGAGAGGTGGGGAATGTATTTGCTCTTTCAGATTTCACACCATTTTAGAGTACATGGCTGAAAACATTGGTAGTTATTGAAATAATTTGTCTGGACAAAACTATATACAATGTGGGAGATAAGGAAAAAGAAAAATCTATTGCAAGGGGTATAAATAGTGATGATTAAAAAAAAAAAAAAAATTAAAATTATACCCCCTTGTTAGTGTTAATTTCAAAAAAAAATTCTTGCATCATCAATTTTGTCAATTTCTTATGCTTATAATTTATGTAAAAATTGTATGAAAGAAAATGCTTTTTAAAATGGTTTCAGTTTTTTAAAAACTTCTCAGCACAGATATAAAACTAATATTTGATTACTTTGACAATTTATAAAATATCTTTGACTTAATAAACAGATAATTAAATTTTTCTTATTGATTGTCCTGGTATATTTGTATTTTCCATAAAAATATTTTTTCTTTTAACTTCAAAGATATTTAACCAGAGATAAATTTATTTTTCTATAATCATATTTATATGAATGCAGTTTCTCAAAAGTGTCTTCAAATGACATCTCCCTGTTGTATGTATCTGGTTATTTTGAAGAATAAAATGACACTATTTTTATTAATTAATTTAATGATTGACTGAAAATTGAGTCTGTAAGTGGTGGGGGGTGTGATGTGGTTTAATCTGGTAAAGTAAAAATGTAATAAACCCAAAATTTTTTATTGTAGATTTGTTATACTCACTTAAACCTAATAGTTCTGTGGAAAGTTATTAGAAAAGTTAATATTTAGAGGTGACTGTTTTTTATAATAGTCAACTAAATATATTCTTTACACTTACATGACATCTTTTGGCAAAATTTAAGATTGGGCAAAAAAAAACCCCAAAAAGACACTGTTGAAAGGACATTTTTTCTCTTGACACTGTTATTACTATGTAGTCCCTCCAGTAATTTTTGCTTTAAAAACCCATCTTTACAATTTTAATAAAACCATAACATGTGACACTGAACAGCAAACTAACCCTCCCTCTTGCTGGGAAAATTAAAACAAGGAGGAGATATGGTTAATTACATCAAGGAAAGGAAATATTTAAATTCAGTTTCATATGTGATGGTTTTATTAAAATTCTATAAATACCTTTTTAAAACCATAAAAATTAATATGGAAGGTATGTTCTTTAAAAAGTTCCAAAACAAAGCCTCTAAATACCAAAACAAAACAAAACAATTTTCATGTAGTTATGGCTAATTATAGATTATAAATTAATAATTATATAAATCAACACTTGAATAAATAGTGTTTAACATTTTTGTTGTCAAATTCTTGGGAGAAAAATGTATAAATTCAGTTTCATGCATTATGGCTTTATTAAAATACTGTAAATAGCTTTTTATAAAGATAAAAATGACCGATAAAGTATATGGTAATACCAGCCTCAAGAGAAAAATTATCCTTTTGATGCATTGTATTTTTTTTTTCCTTCATCTTTCTCTACATGAAAATTATCAAAAATGACTTCTCAAATTTACTCAAAAAAAAAATTACCATATATTTTAATTGGCAAAACAATATTCTGATTCCATTTTTTTTCCGAGTTTTATGAATCTTGAATTTTATAGTTAGTTGTATATTTGCATATGAGACATGGGACAAATTTATTTTTGGAAATTTTAATATTGTTTGATACTGTTATTCTTGGTCTTAAATTTTTATAATTTTTTTTCATTTCAGGTTAAATGAAACCTGAAAATCACCATTATCATTTATTTTTGTTTTAATAAAATATTTAAAAAACTTATTTGCTTGTTTTTTGAGTTTTTTAACAATACTGATCAATGTTTTGAGTTGTTGATATAGAATGGTTTCTACCAGCTCTTGTAGATAATCACTTGATTAGGAGAGTTTAATAAATCAAGAACTGAATCTCTGACTTGGGTGAATGAATTATAGAATCTAATCTAGATTCTATAATCTGTTCACCAAAGTTTGGAATCTTGACTCATCTGATTTGACATGTTAAAGATTTTAAAAGGGATACATAGTTAAAAAAATTGCTTACCTTTTTAAGCACATTAATTCTTGGTGAGTTGAATTTGTTCTGTATTTATTATATATATATATATATATATATATATATATATATATATATATATATATTTATATATATATATACTATATATAGTTTTTTTAAAAAAAAAAAAAAAAAAAATTGCAATTTGCATATAAACGATTATTACACAAACTGATAACTAAGGAAAAAAATTCAATAAAAAAAGGAAAGACTAAAAACATCTGTACTGCTTGAAAATAATCAATCAGCACTGCAATGCCTAACCAAAAAAAAAACACTGAGTTACATAAGTTGATACATAAAAGTGCTTAAATTTTACTTGAATTGTAGTGCTATATATATATATATATATATACACACACACACACATTTTGTGGATAATATAAGGTTTTGTCATTTTTGCTTATCTATACTTTATCTGTTCTATGAATGTTGAAAGTTATTTCTCTTGGGCTACCTTTGCAGAGAAGATAATGTAATTATTGGAGTAGTATGTATTAATAAATATGTATACAAATATATTAAAACAGAAGTTGGAGCAAGAAAAAAAAAAATAGAAATAACTGGTTTTTATTGTTCCTCATTCTTCAGACCTCAGTCAAGGACAAAGCCTAAATTTGTGTATGGCAACTAAAGGAAAAAGTTTATCATTGACAGGAACTCAGCTGGATGAGTCGCGAAAAGAGATTACCTTAAAATACAGTAACCATTCATTTTGATTACAAAGGGAATGTCGCTTAGATTTAATATACAGGGTCTCAAGCACTTTCAAGTGTTTATCTGAATATGCTCTGTTGGAGACTAAGATCAAAATCTTTGGCAAAAGATGAACTGTAAATCAAATTAATTATTAGGCATTTTGCAATTGCAGAACCAGATGTATTGAAAAGTGTATGTAAATATGTCTATGTTCAGATCATTTCTCACTTCCAACCTCTGATGAGTTTTGCCTATATATTCAGCATAACACTGACATTTAAAATTATAAATCGTCAAACTTGATAGGGGAACATAACTTCTTTATGAGTAGATTTCAAAATAGATTATGAAGTGAAAAAACTCTGGATTGGCATAAAAATAATTCTACACACTTGCAAGTATTTTCCCACAAATTTTGTGCAGATTTTACCAATTCAATGTGTGCTGTATTGTCTAGGATGATTTTCAGGGTTGATTTTTTAAGCTTGTGAAGAAAGAGGATGTTAGTAGGAAGGCAATGCAGTTTATATCAGTGACTAGCTTGATAAAAGAAAATTTTAAAGGAAAATAAACTGAAGTGTCCAAAAAGTAAAATGGTTAACAATTTGTGATGATGCTTTTAACTTGAATAATGGCAGCTCTGTGAAATGGCATGGAGTCAACCTTGTGGGTATATCTTGGCATATCCCAGGGATCTTCATAATTGAGTTTTGTTTCTTGGCCCTATCTGTAGGGGATTTAGTGAAGTCTGCAACATATCCAATACATGCTCAATGGCTTTTAAATCTGGTGAGCATGCAACTCAATTGAGTACCTGGAAACCTTTTATTACTGTACCACTTTTACATATTTATAGGCACTTTGATTCTAATGAATGTAATATAACTTTTCAATACCAATATTTTACTGCAATATTTTCTTGAAGGTTATATTTTTTTTTTTTACTTGATACTTATCACTCCATTTTTGGTCATGGCACTTGTGAATTACATCATCATATATCAAAGCCACTATCAGCTGACACAACAGCTTTGCTAACAATAGACTGAAGATTTTCTTTTATCAAGCTAGTCACTGATATAAACTGATGAGGCAACATTGTGTCAATCTTTTATGGCTGAATGTTAATGTCCTCTGGCACAGGTAAAGTCTAGTAACTGATGATGTGGGGTTAATTCAACATTCGTTACTAGGTGTTCAAGGAAGTAGGACTTGATAAATCTTTCCAAAACAGAAACTATGATCTGGAATTGGAAGGAAGGTAATGAAAGCACAAGATGTTGAACCCTAAATTAAATGGCAAAATGGGATACCAATCTCTAGGCCTTCATTTGATAGTGATGGCATATACCCTGAATCCATAAAAATTCAGAATGTAGAATTAATAAATACTAAACTATTCAAATACCTCGGTGTCTGGATCAGTTATAAATTAAGTATAGGCGATAAGGAAATTGAACATAGAATAGGATACACTAGGAGTAGTTTCACACAAGACTATGAGATGCTATAAAAACAAAATATGAACTTGAAAACTCTAGTTGTAATCTTAAATAGCTTTGCCTGATCTAGACTCATCTGGATGTCATGTATGGTCCAACATGTTCAAAGATGTTTTATCATCTATATAAACCTGTTTTCTTGGATGAATGATAAAACATGGTTTCAAGTGAATGAATCCTTCAGGTCTTAAAGAAGGCAATCCTTCATTGGATCATAGAAATGTGCTACAGAATCACAAAGAGTTTTAGCAAACAATAAAAACTGCATCACTTGAAGACTTCCAACAGTAGCAACACTAAAAATGAATAGCACAGGTAACTAGAAGTGAAAATAATGATAGAATCAGGATACTGACTTTCCATTCTCTTCTCTGTACTGTTTCCTTTTAGGATATGGACAATCATGGCCCTCCACAACTTACTATCATTTGTGGTCCATAGCAGCATTTCTCTCTTTGTCAAGTCTCTTGTTCCACCCTCCATTCATACAAGCTTGTCAGGTGGGTGGCCTCCTGCCTTCTCTTATCTCTCTTGAGTTTTTCTAAGCATAGCTTAGATGTGACACAAACCAGAAAGTGTGGGGCACCCAGTGAGAATCAAATTTCCTATTCAGTGAGACAAGCTTGCTAGCCATAACACCATGGTGAAGTGCCCAAGGATTTTCTAAGTATAGCTTATATTGACACAAGGCTGAAAGTTTGGAGCTCTTACCCTCGATATGCCCTATTAGAGTTAAGTCTCCCAATCCCTCTTTTCTCATTATGTTTTCAAGAAATTTTAGATTCTTAATATAAATGTTCTTTTTGTTGCCATTGTTAAGACTTCTTTGTTGATTACTTGCTCCATCCATGGAATTCTAGGCATCCTTTCACAGTTCTATTACCTCCACATTCCTCTTTGTCTGTAGTTTAATTGTTTAGCATTCACTGCCATACAAGAGGATTGATATCATATAGTAATTCAGCACTCCTTTCTTTGTTTCTAATGACATTTTCTTTGAGCAAAAGGTTTGAATGGAAAAGTGATAACTGGACTTGAGAAGCTGACTTGCATTGAAAAACTGTTTTAAGAGAAAGATTTTATAAATTTTGACTGATAGTAATACAGTTTGTTTAATAAATGCTGAATGTTTTCTGCATGAAAAGAGCTATTATTACCATTATCATGTTGGTTGATGATTACCTATGGAATGCAGTGCATGCAATACAAATGATGGTTTGTGTGAGATGAGCATTGAATTCTCTTTTGTTCAGTGATTACCTTCCTTGTTGTTCATCAGCAGTCTCTTTCTTACATAATTTGTAGGAACTTGCATTTTTTAAAAATGTACCACTGATTTCTGGAATTCACATTTTAATGGTCTATTCTTGCTACTGTTGCTGAAAAAAAACTGAAAAGAATTGTCTTCTTAGAGATAGAGTTTGCCATCTTTTTAACCCCAATAATTATTCTGCTGTAAAGCTGTGTTTGTCTACATCCCACAAATGCCACAGCTACACTACCCCTAGTCAAGTGATGTGGGACATAAAGGTCAAATGTGTGTGTGTGGGGGGAGGGGTGTGTGTGTATACCCATCCAATGTAATGTGGTCTCTAATTTTTTTTGGCATTTCAATTTTCATAATTTATATTTCCATGAAGACTTGAAACAGCAGAAGAATTCACTGCAGCATTAGAAATGAAATTTTGTTACAGAACCATCCTATGTAGACTGCATCACAAATGACCATCAAACGGATCCATTGGAAGACCTCATAAGCACTGTCAAGAGTGGTATGGACATATCACAAAAGCCGAAAATCTTTCCGCTGCCATCCCCCAAGGTACCATCTTACAAAGGCAAAAGAAGAGGTTGTCATGCAGAGGAAAACAAGAGAGGACAATGTCACTGAGTGGACTGAGGTAACCATTCATAGGGACCTGGACATTGGTATGCAACAGAGATTATGTAGAGGTGGCAGGTTAGGGGCTCAGCTGTGCAACTGTCCCATTGGCTATTCCCAATTATGTGCCTAATGATGATGATGATGATGAAGATATAAAACAACAACAACACACATACAAAGCAAAACCAAAATAGCAAACAAGGAGAACAGATATAAATAGAAATCCAGATACTGCGATTTAAAATAAGCAGTTAATGTAAATGGTTATCAGTGTTGGTAAGAGAAAGAAAACTGTGATTTTAAATCTCTGTTGCCTTGTGACTATACCCAATCATCGGAAAGGCTTCGGTAGTAAACCCTGATGACAAATTCAGAGTCGATGTCCCTAAGGCAGTCTGGTGTTATGTTCAATTTCATTCTGGCAACACCCGTGATGCCGCCGGTGCAAAGTTGTGTTGGACTTTACCTTTCCCTTGGAAAAGATTGATGGCATAGAGAAGGGAGATGTACTGCATGGTCAACTGCAGATCTCATAAAAACCTGTCCAGGACTGTGTCCTAGAGAGAACACTCCTGTGTCACTT